TCAAATTTTAGCGTAATTACAGTATCCTATCTAAAAATACAAAAATGTACCATCTTGTAATAATAATATGCATATCGTTGTTGGTGTAAATTTCACGTAGAAGACTTTGTGTCCAACTAATTACGACCACACGAAAATCCCTTCTGATTAATTTTTTCACAGAAAAAACGACCGTGATTAAAAATTCCTATTACACATTCTGGTGTTTGCTGATTTCACTTTGCGATAATGCGTTGTACCTCCCATATGTATCATTTCCCGGTAAATACATTAATTTTTATATACGTATCCGATGAAATAATTTTCTCTGTGGGCGTATATTTGTCAAAGAAGCGATATTAGCTTTTTATTTGCTGTGTAACAAATGTCAATGATGCAGTCACACAGCCGAATTTGTCGAGAAAGTCAACAGTGTCATTTTCAATAATTAAATGAAAATACTTACAAAAGAGATATATTCTCTCTTTTTTTAAAGCAAAATATCGATCAAATTTTTATTTAAAAGTCTCTCTCACGAATGATTCAAGTTAGACAAATAAATGAGAAAAATGACAGCGAAAAGATTATTCTTTCGAATATATTTAATTGAAGTTTTTGGAATGGCCTGGAAAATGATTTAAGATTCGCGACGATAGGAGAGCTCAGGGTGGGATCGGCATCGCGAATATCGGCGAATACCGTTTGTACAGCACTGTAAACAAGCGTTCGGCGAGGTTACGACGGGGCGCGAGTAAATGGTATGTAAACCGTGTGCCGACTTCACCCTTGGCCTCAACCCTGGCCAAGTATCCCTCTCTCTCTCTCTGTCTCTCCTCGCACTCCGCAAACTCCATTAAAACATTATCCACGTGCCGATGCGCTCGGAAAATCAGACGCGACTATCCAGCTTCCGCGGCGTATTGATATTACATCCCACCACGGACGTCCTCGTGCGGTTATATACACGTGTGTACATATGTATATATTATATGTACACATTCACACACACATATATGTGTAAACTCTCGAATCTCCATTCCGTGGCCGAGCGCACCCGGGATCGACCGGGCCGTCAGGCTTTCGAGTTTTCGAAAAGGGTCGAAAGCCGCCCCCGTAAACACCGCGGGATGTACAGTCGTTAAAAAAAAAAAAAAACTGTCGATAGACTTGCGGCAATGTGGACTTTCCGCTCGCGAAAATGTCGAAGGGTATCTGCCGGGGGCATCGGATAGTCGGGAAAATACCGCAGGCACATTCATATCGACGGTGTAATCATGTTTGTCTGAGAAGAGATTTTACTCAAGAGCGAGCGTATCTCAACGATCACGATATTGGTTATCCATCGTGCGGAAAGAACGATCGTCTGTCGTTAATCGTAATTGATTTGATTGCGTTCTTCTTAACCGAACGAACTTGGCGTCTGATTGTTAGAGAGTTGACAATTGTTGGCAATTTTCGGAGAGTGCTATGAAAATATTAAAGTATTATGCGCACATGAAAAAAAAATGAAATAAAAGAAACGGAGTAAATAACAACGATAATTCCTCGACTTTGCTCATCGCGCCGCTTCCGGAGATAGGATTATAAAGCGCCCCATTTTTCTTGATTCGCACATTTTTCCGCTCTGTTATTTGAATTAGAATCGAAAGGACGTATTTCTCACTTATATATGAACGAAATATACAAAATCGTATTTCAAAAATTAATAGAATCGAAAATTGGAAAATTAATAGATTTTTAATTACATATAAATATTACTATAATTGTGCGTTATGTATAACTTTTTTTTAATATTTCAATTTTTTTGAAAGAAAAAAATTTGCTTTTTACAAAAATTGTGTTTTCATATCTTTTAACGAAATAAAACGCGTAACGTAGCTGAACATGACATACGATGATCGTGAAGATGCAAATATTTCGGACTCGTTAATTTAACCGCGAACAAAAGCGAACGCGGGAGAGATTCGTTTAATTTTCATTTATATCGCGCAAATCAAGCGCACGCGGGGATGTCGTTTGGGATATATCGGATTACCGTCCCCTCCGATACGTGGACATGCTCGCGGAAAAATTTGTTGACACACGCGCGCATCCACGTACAAACACAGAGCCACGCATACATACCTGTGATTCTGGCTTCGACCGCGTGTGCGCGGGAGTATTACGCAAAAAAACAACGCCCGCCTGTCAGGGGAAATAAAACAAGGATCGGGTAAATAGCGACGGTCCGTAGATAATTCTATTTTGTTTATCACTGCCGCGGGAAATGCGATTTCGTACGCCACCGACTGACGCGATTTGTTTTTATATTCAACATTCTCGGCCGTGTATTTTCTCCGCGCGCGTTTATAATCAGCAGTCGTGTGTTACTGTGATATCCTTGTGCGCGGATACGCAAAATAGGGATTATCGATTACACCGCTGATAAGCGGATCTGTTTTTAATTAATGATTTTATTTAAAGCAGAACGGGCTTAGCGATTTTGTGCATTTGAAAGGATGAGAAGATTGTATATAATAATCTTTATCGTTATCTAATCGGGATCTTTAATTCGAAATGTGTGATGGGGCGAGGCAGGGCCGACATTTAGGTGGCAAGATCGTCATTGCCATTTAATTAAATCGAAAAATCGGATAGTCATTAATGACAAGTGGCGCCCAATCAAGATGACTCCGTGATTTTTATTGATCCCACGCTGGGCCCAGAGGGACCTTCTCCTCCCGATATAGCACCTATAACGCGGATAAAAGCCGATTGACGCTTTCAAAAAAATCGTAATGAATCCCGACCACCGATTTTCTCATTGACACGACAATCCGAAATTATCTGGCGGTTCCAATCCTTTTCGGCCAAAAATCGTAATCAAACTTGCATAATAACAATGACTAATTAATGTAGAACAGATAGCCTGGTCTATTTTAAGACAATTTTTTTATTTCCAGAATTTTTATTCCGACACTAGTGTAAGTTAAAAATTAATATTACATTTTTACTAAGAAAAGAGCGATTTTTTACAATTTGAACCTTGGGAATTTGCTGCGTTGTATACACAATCCGCGCGCACATTACGATTCTGCTTTCAAACACACAATCGCAATATCCTCCTTTAAAAGAGCGAGATTGCGCTACTTCAATCTCTTATCGTTCGTTTACTCGCGGCGAGTTTCGTCTGACGGACACTTTCGATCATCCGTCCTCGGCAAGTGCCTCGCGAGTCGATGGTGGGAAATAGATAGGAAAGGTGCATTAGCGCACGATTAACGTTTTCGTCGTGTGCGAAACACCGTACGCGATTCGCGATACGATCTGCGTTAAGTCCGCGGGACTGTAAGGAGGTCCATAAACTTTCGTGTCCCGAGATAGTAATCGTCAGGTGCGAAAAGCGTGACGGGTCTGGAGGGAAAGCGTCCGCGCGGTCGCTGGTCTCCGCTGAATATATATGGGTGTTTCCACGACGTGGTGCGTTGCGATTTTCGTCGACGTCGACCAAGAAAGAACGTGTTTTTTTCATTCCAATATTTCTTTAAGCGCGATTATTATAACGCGATACCGCGGAGCGAGGCGATGATCCGCTTTTGCTTCATTAGGGAACGTTGCGCACTCAAGGTAACAATAAATCTCCGACCTTATCGATTTCACGACGATACGATACGACGTCGATTTGTCATACGTTTATCCGAGGCTTATTATGTACGCGATTTATCGCGCGCCCGATCTCGCGCCGCGTTCGTAACATAGGCTATAGGGCTACGATTATTAATTTAAAGGCGCGAGGGTGGTAGTGCGAGGGGGATAGTTGATATAAAATGCATCCCATATCTCGGTTGCTCTCACGCGCGAGTTCTCTCGATATAGTGCCGCAACAAGGAATCGTGATCCAATAGAATCGGATCGCCGATAAGCGATCGCGTTATAATGATTTTGTTGAAATTGATGGAGAATTGATAATATATTCTACTGTTCTTGAAGAAAAAAAAATGAAACTCCTGAACTGTCGATGTCTATAATAACAATAATAATGTTTAATCGCATTATGCGTGCTCTGTATTTAATACACCCTTTTTTGGTCGATTGCAAGTAATAATAAGTACATTAATTTGTAATTACAGCCGAACTGGTCATTAAACTCGCACAACACATCTTACATCGAATTACTTATGGCTGTCTGATTCCTTTGCAATATACTAACTTTCTCCTCGGATATCAAAGTGCAATTCGAATTGGATTATCTGTACAACCGCACAAAATGCTATATTAATTCTAAACAGATCTAGTATTCTGATATAAATACATGTCTATAGTATTTAGAAGCGTGTTATATATCTTATTTCGATATCAGTATCGTAGAAATCAAACAAATTAAATTCTGCAAAGATATAAATCGTAAATATTATACGACGAAATTCTATTATATCGCATTTATTCAATGATACTTGCGTCAGAAATTAAATCTCGGTCAATAATTGGCAAAGAAATTCAAGATCAATTCCTATTCAGTATTTTGTACGCACAATTATATATATTACGAGGTATATAAAGTTTATAAATAGAATTCTTATCAAAATATAAATCGTCTATATAAAATGGATTTAAGATTGCAAAAAAATCTACATAGAGAGAATTGTCTCTTAGAATTTATCCCAAAAATCAAGATAACCGTGAGACAGCATGATATTGGAAGAATTTTATAAAAGTTTCTCTGATAATATTTTATATCTTAACATGGTAGATATTAATATTTGTTATTGTGGTAAATATTAATCACAGAAACTCTTATAAAATTCTTCCAATACGATGTTGTCCCATAATTTTCAAGCTAAATTCTAAGAGAAAATTCTCTGTGTATCTTACTCTCATCTGATGGCAAAAAAAAAACATCGACACAGCTGATCCTCTTTTTTTTTTATTAAATTGGGGGAGACTCCCCCAGACTCTTTAAAAAGGGGAGAGCTATCTATAAAAAAAAAAAAAAAAAATATATCCCGTAGCAAAATCGAGTGATCAAAATCGCGAAAGGATACCTTCGGATAATATCGCTCCCTCCTCGCCGCTCCACGACGGTAGCGTGCGGATGGTCCTCGTACGAGTCGAGACGTTACGACGGCGGCGGCAGCAGCAGGTTGATGGATGCCGGAGTCTCATGAGAAAATCCGGATGGAGGGGATAAGCCGCGCGACTCCCGTCGTGTAGTCGTCCTCGCATACTCGGCATACATAGTGGTGGCACAGGCTCTAGTGGTGGTACCGGACTGACGGCGACGGCGCCGGCAGTGGTAGTAGTATTGCGATAGTAGTACTAGTAGTAGTAGTAGTAGTAGTAGTAGGAATGACGCCGGCAGAGTACTAGAGTAGGGTCGGATCCAGAGTGGGGACGATAGGTCCGGTCGCGAGGACGGGTAGGGGTAACTAAGTACCTTCGGTACCACGACGACCCTAGGTTGCGTCGACGATGCCGGAGACAGAATCGGAGGGAGAGAAAAGGATGGAGCGGCGAGGAAAGAGGGACACGCGAGTCTCCGCTCGAGGGGACGACCGGGTGACAGAGAAAGAGAGAAATCGGACGATATAGTCGACCGGAAAGGGAGAGACGCGCGAAAGATGTGTGTGTTTATATGCGTGTGCGGGGGTGGGAGTACCCCCGGAGCTTAGGACATCCTGGTGGGACGCGCGTAGGGTGGGGACACGAGGGAGAGAAGGGGGACAGAGGACGTTTGTCCACGTTCACCACCGACACACGCGCTCGCACGCGCGTGTGCACGCTATCAGCAAAGAAAATCCTTTCTGACCTCTCTCTTTTCCACTTACCTGTATTTCAGCGCTGGCGCGACTGTCAAGCATCCACCACCAACAGCAGCAGCAGCAGCAGGCTCAACAGCAACAACAGCGACTCGGTGGAGGTACCAATGGTGGGGATGTCTCCAGCCCTCGTTCCACTGGTAGGGAGGATAAAAGCGTCGTAGGGAGGGTAAAGCACCCGGCTACGACGACGACGACGACGACAACAACGACGACGACCGGGACGGCGGTGGTGGCGACGACGACGACGACGACGACAACGACGGCGACGACGATACTCGCGGATGGTAGCACCGGGGGTGGAAGTGGAGGCGGAGGGGTAGGTGGCGGCGGCGGTGGCAGTAGTGGTGGTGGTGGTGGTGGTGGTGGTAGTAGTGGTGGTGGTGGCAGTGACAGTGGTGGTACTAGTGGTGGTGGCGGCGGTACTCCTGGTGGGGACCGTAACAGCGGCGGTGGTACTAGTGGAGGTGGTTGTGCCGGTGGTGGTGGCGAAGTCGCGGAGAAGGAGGAGAGGCCACCGGCTTCAGAGACTGTCGAGCCGACGGCCGCGTTTGACGTCGCATCCCTCGTACTCTACGGCTCGCGCGCACTGCCGATACGCCTTAAGATCTTGCTCGATCAGTTGTTCAACCAGTTGCCCCCCGCGCAAGTGACACGTATCCTAGCTGCCTTCGGTTGGACCCACGAGGATTATACGCGAGGATACATACTGCAGGTGAGTTGACACATGTCGAGTCAAAAAAAAAAAAAAAAAAAAAAAAAATTTGACATGCACAAACACACACGCATACACACATATGATACATTTGTGCGCGACGAGAGACAACCCCTACGGTCGAATCGCGGATACGTCGCGATCGTGTACCACGTGACGACGATACTGGGACTATTTGACATATCGTATCTTTGGACGCTCGCCGGAGAGACACGCGGTTGATGTTTCGCGCGCGACGATCAGCTGCGCTCTTCGTAACCGAGGCGAACGACGACTTTGACACTTGGATTACCTCCAGAGTTGTGACAGCAACCGCTAGAGACGATCATTATTTTGGTGACATCTTCTGTGAATAGGTGCTCCGAATATGCCTTGGCTTTGGCACGCGACAAGTTCGCGGTAATTCTCTGACGAAGTCCGTATCGAAAAATATCTTCTCCAAGTCTGACGCGAATCGAGACCTTTCAAATTGTTACCGCGAAATATGACATGTAAAACGTATATTATATAATGATCGTATATCTTCGATTGTATTTAAATACGAAAAATTCTCTACATAAGGTCGCACGTGATAAATCTTGATAAAATAAATTATAAGTGTCGACGATTATTAAATCATTGGAGTTCGATAAAATAAAAGGCTTCTCTAAAATGCTTTAAAATAATTTTATGATTATAAAATATAGTCGCGTGATTTATTGTGACAACAGAAAAATGTCGAGGACGAAGACGAGAAGAAGGCAGAATTGACGATGAACAGTGCATCGTAAAAGTGTATCGCATGATAGTGTAAGTGGTGCAAATGTCAGAGCGGAAGATCGAGATATCTGTGACGAGTGAGGTACCTGCGCAGTAACATATAAATCTCAATGGGAGTCCTCCGTCGGACACATCCACTAACGTCGAAGAGGACGGAAAGTACGAAGGACGTTGCCGAGAAGAAAGAAAAAATCTCCTCTCGTGAGGAGGATCGATCGAAAAAATAATTTGGAGCAATATGCATGATTCGACTCCGTTTTGCATTCCGTTGACAAAGTGATATAGTTTCTCAATATTGAAGACTTTTCCGAAAAAAAGAAATTCAAATCGATCAAAAATATTTCTCAAAGTGGTACTCTGATAAAAAATATTGTCACAATTCGAAGACGACATATTTTGACATTCTAATCTAAACGTTAAAATTTTGTTAATTATATGTGATTATGTTGAGTAACATTTCTCTGCAAATGTCATATCTGAAATTAGAGCCCTTTTGACAGCTCGAGTGACGATTTCTTAATTGACAATTTGTTTTCTCGCGTATCTCATTTTACTTGCAATATATCGAATATGCAGTTTTATTTTTGCTACCGATTTTCTACGAGGTTCACCGTGGATCATCATGATTCCTTGGATCAACCGGAATCGAATCAAAACATATTGAGGGACTGTTCTTTTTTAATAGTGAGTGTCGATCAGTGAAAAAGTAGTGACGTTTTATTAATCAAGGTGAGACTTATCATTAAACTTAATAGTTTAAATAATTCGGGTACTTGTCATTGTGAATAAAAATTCGCTAATAAATTTTATCGAATCGAAAAAATCGATGAATTGCTTGAAACATTGTTTAAACATAAAAAACATAAATCGCGCTAAATAATAACTCCGATAATTATAGTGACGTTAATCGTAACTCACGTGCGGCTCGTGTGATTATACGAACGTTTAAAATACAGTTTGTGAAAATCAATAAAAAAAGAAAAAATTAATAGTTTGAATAAAATTATAAATGGAAGCATACGCGATATTATATCATAATGATCGCGACCGGTGAGGCGCATATATAAAAATACATAATTATCAATAATTTTTGTATCATAAAAAAGCTTAAAAGCTCGTTATGTAATTCCGAACGCATAATCTGTAAGTGATTAAAATAGAAATGACATTCTTGAACAAAGTCGATACTTCCTGAAATCATACTCTATTACCACGATTATATTATCGCACCTGATCTGAAACGACATTTCGAATAATGAAACCGCAATTCCTCGTAGTATACACTGTATCGTATTAAATATCGATCTTGACATTCTACTAAAATAAATAAAATCTTTATATTTATATACACATATATATATGTCGCAATTTTTTTTTTGTAAAATTAGCTTTTTTAAAAAAGATTCAATCAACACATAAAATATTAAATCCAATCTGATTTTGATAAAAAGCCTAAGCTTTGAAAACAAGCTGAATTTACAAAGAATCTGGCAACATATATATATATATATATATATATATATATATATATATATATATATATATATATGCATATGTGTATAGACTTCTCGTGAGCGATCGAAGTGAAGACGATATTTTACAACAAATAACTTCTTGCATAATTTTCTCTCGCCTCGAATTATGAATGCACCAATCTCGATAACACGGGAAAATAATTAAATAATAACATCTATATTTTGAAAAAATCCATTTTGCCTAATATGACAGCTCGCGCAACGTGTGCGAATAATAGTCGAATGAAGACAAAATTTGAAACACAAAGAAATCACAATTTGTCGCACAAATACACATCACCTCGATGATTATTTAAACTTTAATCTTATAGCCTGAAGATAATCGCGACGAACCAATGGAAACTCGCGCGTTGCAGAAAATTGTCGCAGTAAATGCTCGATCACACACATTATACTTTGTCCACCACGAGGATCCGAAAATGCACGCGATCGTGCGTTAATCTTCAAGAGAGAGAGAGACAGAGAGACGCGTTAGGAAACGGGGAGTATCCGTGTAAACTGAATTGCGCCGATGTCGGCGTGAAATTAAAACGTACGGGAAACCGGTTTCTCGGGACGAGACGGATGCGTAGAGATATATGTACATATGCACCACCGCGATGCACTTATCCGCTCGCAGCGGCTTTTCGTTCTCGCAAAGGCGTGGAATATATACGCGAGGAGGCTGCGCGTGCGTCGTCGGAATTTATAATCGGAATAAATTTCGAGCGAGGCGAGAAACGCGACATCTCGTACACCCCATGTCCATGTCTCTTCGCACGCGATGCGAGAAAAAAAAACCTTGGAGGTTCCTCTCGTACACGAGGATTGTCATTGAGGGCGCCGCCGGGGTTGACACGTGCGGGCTCGTGTACGCGTGTATATCGTTTTGTTTACTTTCGTCCGACAAATTTAAACCGAAATTCAAGCTTGTTAGAGCTCGCGTGACGATACACTTCGAGAAACTCTATTAGCTCGCGCGTACTTCTCTCCTGTATATTACTCGCGTAGAGAGAGAGAGAGAGAGAGAGGGCCGCGTTTGTGTACCACCGCGCTTAGTTAGGTATTTCGTCGCCATAAGCAAGTCGGACGAGAAGACACGCGATTATCCGGAACGGACGTCGAAATACACGCTTCGATAGTAATCCGTTACGTCTTTAACAAGTTGAAGCGCCGTGAATGACACAGTTCTAACTCTCTCGGTTATGACGGGATTAGATTAACGCCATGGCTCTAATAGAGTATTTTCTAGCTACTTTCGTCATTATTATCGAAATAATATAGTATAGCTTGCTATACACGTGAACAAAATTTTACTCTCCTTGAAAAATTAAGTATGCGTTAAATAATATAATAATAGAAGATATTCTATTGATAAACAAAAATAATACACATTGTGTTCTTTTAACATTTCTTGCGTAAGAGAAAAAAATAGAAAAATCAATTTTTCTGTGGAATTTCATAATAGCTATCGATAATATTTACTGAATACACGTATCAAGTGCTGTCGAGATATGAATCAGCTGCAAACTCTGTCAGTCGCTTATTAGAGACGTCACGATTCTCGAGTCGCTAAATTCCAATCATCCGTGCGGTTTTGCAGGAAAGTCGAAGAAAAGTATAAGCATCTGCTTAGAATTTGCATTTCCTCGAGCCATTGACAGCACTCTCGCGGTCAAAACGCCGCTTTATGAATTCATTATGGAAGGATATTTTCACCGAGTCGATAATTCCTAATCACCCGTCTTACGACGCGAAAGTGGATCGCTCCGAAGAAATGATCCGCCGGAAATTAAGAAGATTTTTGTGGCCTCGCATCGCTACGGATTTGCATTCTCTTTCACATCTGGCGAACTTGTTGCGGTCGAGCGCTACTTTACGGCTCGTTACCAGAATATCGTCGCAAAGACTTCCTGAATCATGATCTATAGCGCGCAAGTGTCACGTTGGGAGAGCGATCTATGAGAAATCGAGACCTCGGAGCTCTCCGCTCCGGATTTGCATCTCGGTATGTAAGCTATTCGCGATCGAGCGTTATGCTTTTATGACTCGCAAAGACTTTCCTGGATCGTGATTTATATTGCAATAGTGTCTCCTGGCAGTGAATTCGCTATTTATCGGAATATCTCTCGTCACGGCGTCGAAGCTTTCCGAATTTATCATCTATAGCACACATTTACATGCATTTGTCTTTCGACATGCAAATTATTCGCGCGGTCTAGCATTGTTTTATATCTCTTGTTATTTCCTTGCGGAATATTTTGATTCTCGCGCGATATATATATATATATATATATATATATATATATATATATATATATACATGAGTGTTAAAATAATCCTCACTAGAAAATATAACTGTAGCTTGAAATGACGAGATTTCTTGAATCACGAGCGGTGACGTAAAAGTGTCATTTCTACGAGCGACCAGGAAACTTCCAGTCGTGCCTCGAATTTGAATATCCCATCTTCGCCGGGAAAATTTCCGCGAATCGTTCGGAATGCCTTACACGAGTGTCGAGAACATCGTCGTCGTCGTGAACGTGGAAACGGTAAATCATAGAGTTCTCGGTGGACGCGAGAGAGAATGACGTTTCGCGCGGCGCGGCGGAGGCCAATTTCGCACGTCGCAACCGCGTCGTGTGGAGCAACGGAAGCGCAGCGGTTGCAGCTTTTGCGAGAGAGAAACCCGGGATTTTACGGGGACTAACTGCCGTCGATTCTGCT